CCCCACCTTTACTCAATTCCTTTTTTCTTTATAGAGAGATTTTTACTTTAGGGCACATGTGCTCACCAGAGACAGAAAACGAGAAATCACTACCCCCACCCCCACCGCCCGCAGAGGGGTAGCCGTGCTGCAATCCCTTTTTCTCTGTCCTCCTCTTGGGATTTTTTGGGCACACACTCACACACTCGCACTTGACATGAGTTTCTTTAAGCCTCTGGGTCCAGGATTCAAACTGCTGTAGACTATGTGGGAGTCCAGCAACGTAACCATTACAGTGTCTGCTGTTCCTACTCTACTCTTTTTTTCTTTTTCTTTCTTTTTTTTTTTTTAATTTTATTTTATTCACTTATTTTAATTTGACCAGAGAGAGAAAGTGAGAAAGCAAGGCACCAGATCCAGGCTTCGAACCATGGTGGGCCATGTGGGAGTGTCCAGCACCTTAACTACCATGCCACCTGCTGGTTCGCTGGTTTTTGTTTTTGCTATAGGACACATGTGCTTGCTGGAGAGAGACAGAGAGGGAGGGATATTGCAAAGTCACCCCTCAGGGGAATGACCTCCCCACAGTCCCTTCTCCTTTATCCTCTTGGGGTTTTGGGTAGGCACACACACGTGCCAGCATGGTTTCCAAGCGACCAGATCAGGGACTTGTGTCAGCCACATGGGACCAAGCCACCTTCACCTCCATGCCACCTCATTTCCCATGGGCCGTTACAGCAGCTCCACCAGACAGATAGCGTGCGTTGACCGTGTCCATTTTCCAGAAGGGGAGACGAGGCCCCTCCACCAGCTTGCAGAGGGCCTCTGGATTTCCTGTACTGGATTTCATCAGAGTGGGCATAGAGGGCTGGGGTGCTGAGGGTGGGACAGTCCCAGAGGCCCTCAGAGGAGCGGCTGCATTTGCTCCTAGGAAGTCCGAGGCAGCAGGGACCTTCCAGGCTCGAGACGAGGGACGGGCACAGCGGCCTAGCCAATGTCAGAGCCAAGCTCTCCGAAGACAGTCCAGCCCTGTCCCCAGCAGACAGGTGAGCACTGCTACCCACCCTGGGGCCCAGCACCCCCAAGGGGTGGCCACTGCTTCTCCCCTCGCCCCTGGGTGCCAGCAGGGGTCCTGGGTGGGGAGGTCCTCTATAACAGGACCAGAGCCCCGGTCCTGGGAGTCCAGCTCTCCTCTTATCCCAAGGGTCAGCAGCTCTCAGCGAAGTGCACATGGCTCCATATTAGTCCTCTGAAGACAGCCCCTCCACACTGTTCCCTTCCTTCACGAGATGCTCGGCATCCTGGGAAGATGTCAGGGGAAGCCTGGGAGGAGCTGAGGGTCTAAGGGCTGCCTCCTCTGAAGTGAGGCGTTGTCTCGAAAGAAAGTCTGGGCCAGCCAGCGGCATAGTTGTAAAGCAGCTGGATCCCACAGGGCCAACTGCACGGTTTTAGTCCCAGACCCGGCAGCTTGAAAAACACACTGGTGCGTGTGCATGTGTGCACTGGTGCCCATGCTCCCGAGGAGAATGGAGGAGGAGGGATTGCAGCCATAATCCCGAGGAGAATGGAGGAGGAGGGATTGCAGTGTGGCCATGCCCCCGGGGGGGGATTTCTCATTTTCTCTCTGTAGTAAATTTTTAAAAAGGAACAGAGAGAGCATGAGGGAAAGAAAGAAAGGAAGGAAAAAAAAAGAGAGAGAAACCCTTAGCCGGCAGGGCCACCCAAAAAAAGAGAGAAACCCTTAGCCGGCAGGGCCACCCAGCAAATGCGGTATTGGTGGTGGAAGTCCCAATGGCCAGCTTGGAAGGGTACCTCGGGGGCAGGGCTGCGAGGAGAGTGAGATGTCTTTCTGGAACTGAGGAATGTGGGCGAGAGGGATGAGAGACTGTCCCCCCAGAGAGGGAGCCGGAGCCCCTGCACCTCTTCGATCCAGGCTGCTTTGATGCAGGCTGCTGCGAGGACACAGCCATGTTCCCCTGGGGCCCAACACAGACAGAAGCCACCTGGCCTGGTCCCCGAGCCTCACCTGCCCTCACCTCCTCCTCAGGTGACCCAGGTTCCAGCCAAGCAGGCAGAAGCGGCCTGGTGCAGCCGAGCAGAGCCCATTTGTCCCAGGAGTCCCGAGAGGTGGCCTGAGGCAAGCCAGCGATTCCAAGGGTCCTCTGTGCCCCCCAGGACATCAGGCAGGACCCCTGAGAGGGAGCCACGGACAGAGAGACCTCCAGGGAGTGGCCAAGCAAAGCCGCAGGGGACCCAGGGCCCTCACAGACACCTGGAGCGGAGCTGGAGCAGCCAGGAGGGGGGCCTGGGCCTGGGGGGCTGGCGAGGGCTTGGGGACCCCAATCTGGGGGCTGCCAGAGCCCCAGAGGGAGCAGGGAGGGGGCCCCCCAGGGAGCACAGGGAGAACTGGGGGCAGCCAGAGGCCTGGGAGGAGCATCCCCAGAAGCCAGCACTGAGGGGCTGGGGCAGCCTACAGGAGCTGTCCAGTCCCCACCAGCCGATGAACCCCCCGGAGGACTCTTGGAGGTGCCAGGCAGAGTTCTCTCAATCTCAGCGGCTTGAGAAACCCACTGCCACAGACTGGGGTGCCGAGAGAGCGAGCCCCCACCCTCATGGTCCTGAGAGGCAGCCTGAGATTGACTGGCGGGACCTGGTGGGCCTTCTCCGGGCACCTGGAGATGGGGTCTGGGCCCGTCTCCCAAGGCTGGACTGGGAGGGGCTCCTGGAGCTCCTGCAGACCCGGCTGCCCTGCAAGGTCCCAGCTGGACACTGGAGTGACTCAGCCAAGACTTCAGGGCCAGAGCTGAGTCCCCCAGGCACAAAGGATGCCCTGGCGAGGGAGCAACCCAGCCAGCCAGAAGACTGGGCTGAGGCCACCCTAGTCAATGCCCACGGCCCAGGGCAGTGGCCCCAGAGCCAGCCCCAGCCACCCAGCCCAGCCTGCACCTCCACCCAGTGGCCAAAGACCAAAGTGACAATTGGACCAGAGAGCTCAACGACAGCAGCTCTGGAGCAGACGGATCAGCCAGGGAGCAGCCTCCCCGAGGACGGCAGCTCCCCCGGGCTGCGGCGGGTGAGTCAGCCCGCTCTGGGGGGCGGCCACCCTTAGGACCACCTCCCTCTGGTGCCCCCTCAGCCTTGTGCACTCACTCTAAGACCTGACCTGATCCTCCCTGCTGACCCAGACCTGTCCCCACCACCAAGCTGGGCAGCAGTGATTACATCAATACCTTACATTTTTTAAAATTTTACTATAGTGCCTGTGTACTCACCCAAGAGACACAGAGAAAGAGAGAAAGTGACACAGTATCCCCCAGGGGAAGGCCACATCGCAATCCCTTCATTCTCCTCGGGATGTTAGGCATGCACGCACACATACCCAACATGTTTCTCAAGGGGCCGGGTCCAGGACTTGAACCACGCAGTTGGACATGTGGGTTCTAGCCTCCTTAACCTCCACACTACTGGCTGGCCCCTGACCACCACTGTTTTGAACATTACCTGTGTGCCAAGTCCTGGTCTGAATATTTTATGTGTACTTTTCTCATTTGGTCTCCATAGCAACATGAGGAGAAGGGCCTTATTTATTTACAGATAAAGAAACCGAGATGGGACTGAATTAAGCCACTCGCCCAAGACCACACAACTAGGAAGGCCAGGGCAGGGGTGGAATCCAGGTCTGCCCAGTGCAGGCCCCAAGGCTTCAAGCAAGACACTGGCCAGGGCCCTCCCTCCAGGCCTCACAAGGCCTGCTTTATGTCGCGTCTGGTGGCTTGTACCTGACACTGCCTGGGACTGCAGCCAGGGTGGTCACGTCTCCTCCCGCCGCTGTCTTCCAAGCTCCTGAGTCTAAGACAGCTCCTCTCAGATCCGAGAAGAAGCTGCCTGAGTGTGCACAGGGCCAAGTAGCTGGCAAGGCAGGCCACTCCAATGGGGGCTGTGTGCACAGTAGGCCCAGTGCTGAGCACGGAGTAGTCGCGCACCACGTGCCTTCCCCTGCCTCAGTGCTGCCTCAAAGCCCAGGCACTGATCTGAGGACAGTGGGTGCAGAGGCCAAGGGGCCAGAGCCCTACAGCCTGGCTTCAGCCCACCAGCTGTGCCGGATGGAGAGGTGGTGCACCAAGGGTGGCTGGCTGTCTGAGTGGGGGACAGATGGCGGGTGCTGGATAGATGGGGCGGTGGGTAATGGTGCGTGGTGGAGGGTCGGGTGGACACGTGGATCTGTTGGTGCTGGATGCTGGGGGGATGGAGGATAAGAGGAGAGCTGAGGAGGTGGGCAGAGGGACGGGTCCTGGGGCATAACCTGGACTAAGCCGTGTTGTTTCTTACTACCAGTTCCAACCAGAGGAGCGTGAGGAGTCGGAGCCAAGCAGAAGCCAAGACTCACCGACTGAACAGAAGCAGGCAGACTCGGTAGTGGGGCCATGGGCATGGGCGCACAGGGAGGGGAAGGGAAGGGGAACGAGGTTGGAGGCGGGCTATCCTCAGACTTCTGGTGCCGTTCAGACCAAGGTTGGCTCTGCCACGGGGTCATGGTGTGCAGGGTGTGACCAGAGAAGTGGATCTCTAGAGGAGCTGGTCAGTGAAGCCACCTTCTGGCTTGGGGACTGGGACAGATGGGTGATCCTGGGGGCAGACGCCCAGGGCTGTGCCTCTAGCTTACTGGGCTGTCCCTGGGCAGCTGGCAGTTGGGCCCCGAGGGTCTCTGCGGGCAAGGTCCTCCTGGTTCTGGAGCCCCAGGCCAGGCTAAGAGAAAGAGCAGGTCTTTCGGGAACTGGACCAGGGGTGTGCTGGAGACAGCCAAGATGCCTGCCATCGGCCGGCCTGGATCAGAGTCCTGGAGGCAGGAGCGACACGTGCGGTGGTGGGTGGGCCCGAGGCTGCTCCAGGCCTGGCTGCAGCTGGTGCACACAGCTCTGCCCTGCCTTCCCTGCAGCCTGCCAAACAGATCGTTGTCATCACGCTCAGCCTCCGGGGAGGTGAGGTCAGAGCAGAGGCTGTGGGCAGGGGAGGCAGGCAGGAATGAGGCAGACTGTTGGGGACTGTGTTTTCCTTGCCCTGCTCTTCCCTGAGCCACCTCCCAGAAAGCAAGGAGTGACAGGGGACCGTTGTCTGGCTCTGCTGTTAGCTGGCGCTGGGAGCATCTGGCCCACCTCTCCTTGTGGGTGAGCACACAGAGGCAAGGGTCCTCCCAGGTCACACAGCCAGCCATGGCTGGCCTCGAATTAGAACTGAGGGCTTGGGACCCCTCACTCAGTGCTCCCCGACCACCCCACCACCACTTCCTGGCTCTGCCCTGGTTTCCTGCGTGGCCTGGTGTACAACACTTTTAACTGCTTGGAGGACCTGTCCCCCATCTGTGTAATGGGGAGGGGACAGAAGGTCTCCAGCCTTCATGGGGTGCTCACTCTGCTCTTCCTCTTTCGGGGTCATTTCTTCATACTTCCTGCAGCCAGAGTTCTGTGATCAAAGAGGAAATAGCACATAGGGGTACCCCTCTAACCTCCACGAAGGCACCCATCCCAGCAACATGGAAAAGCCTCGACTGGAAAGACTTGAAACGACCTCATTCCTTCCATCTCACTCACATCCACTTAGTGAGCACCTCCGGTGTGCCTGGGTGTGGGTCGGAGGAAGCCGGAGCTCAGTCCAGTGAGACAGGTCATGCCATGTGCTCAGGGCTGTGCTGGGGGACGCAGGGCGGGGTGGGGGCGCCCCTCCCCGCAGAGCTTTCCTGGGCCTGGCTCTGATGCTTCAAGTGCCACGTCCAGTGCATGGATTCCAGAGAGTCGGGCCGCCTGGGCTCTGTCCTATTTTTGCCCACAACTTGCTGTGTGACTTTGGGCAAGTACCTCTGCCTTGAGGCCTCAGTTTCCCCAACCAGGACGGCTCAGGGGAGAGCATTCTGGGGCTCTGCTGGGGGGATCTCTGCAGGAGTATGTGACTCGTTCCTTCCCCCGCTCCCGTAGGCTGGGGTCACAAACATAACGCCCTGTAGGGAGTAAAGGTGAGAAGAGTGGGAGGCAGGGCACTGGTGTGACCCCATGGTGGTTTCAGGGGGTTGTTGCCATGGGGAAGATGGGCCAGGGTTTCCACGGCTGTGGATAGTTCAAGAGCAATTGGAAATGTGCATTTTTACGTTAAGCCTCTTGATCATTCAACACTGGAACCTAATGCAAAATAATTTAGAAACACTGCGTGTGCCGACCTCACCAGGATCTGTACTCCCCCCACCCCACTGGCAACCTGTGGCCTGACTTTGGGGTGATGAGGTCACATCCCAGGGTGCAGAGCCCAGGAGCCCTGTCAGTTAAACACAGCGTGGTGTGAACGAGGTAACAAGCTTCTCGTGGGCTCTGGAAGGGGAGAAAGACGGGACCCCAGCCTGGGTCTTGGCAGGGCCGGGGCGGGCTGCAGCCAGGGATGCCCCATCCCTCAAAGGGACCTGGGCCAACACCGGACCCTGTTTGACAGGCAGACAAGAGGCCAGCGGAGGGCAAGGCTGGCAGCCCGCTCAAGGGCCGAATGGTGACCTCGTGGCGGATGCCGGGGGACCGGCCCACGCTGTTCAACCCGCTCCTGCTGTCCCTGGGGGTCCTCAGATGGCAAAGGGTAGGCTGGCTCCAGTGGGGACAGAGGGGCAGGGAGGGGAGGCTGGGCTAGTCAGAGACCAGGCAGTGGGGGCTGAGGGGGATTCGGGGCCATAGGAAAGAGGGGAGACCCGAGCTCCTGTGCTCCCCTGGACCCTGCAAGTGTGTGGGTCTCCCACCTCCAGAAGAGCTGGGCTCAGGGTCAGGGTGACTGAATCACTCACACCACCAAAGCTTCCAACTGGCAGCTTCTCAGCAGCCCTGGGCAGGGGAGAGGGGAGGACGGGCCTGCAAGGGGCTCTGGGATTGCAAAGTGTGTCTCAGACCTGGGCCCGAGCCAGCTTCACAAACATCTGGCCTTACGTAACCCATCCTTTGCCCAGAGAGGGCTGTCAACATTCAGGCCTCTGGTTGGGGTTTCCTCCAAAGCAGGGAGGGGACACAGCTGTGACTCTCCCGCTTGCCCCCTTTGCAGGAGAGAGGGGCTTTGCCATCTCCAGGGGCCACAGGCATGTGGGGTCTCCTGTGGTAGCAGGTTGACTGCACATTCTCCGCGGGCTCTGGCCCAGCGCTAGGCGGGGCGCCTTTGAAGCGGTGTGCCACTTCCCAGACGAGGGCTGAGGCTCAGGGAGGCGAGGGACCTGCCTGGAGTTACTCCCTGGGGTGCAAAGCTGCCGGTTTTCCTCATTTCCAGATGACAGAAGGGGTGCGAGCCTGGCTGCCACAGCTGTCTTTTGGGGACAAATCTAAGATGACTCCCAGGGCTCAGATCAGGACACATGAGGGGGGAACCAGCAGTTAGCGTAATGGCTATGTCGCTGGACTCCCATGTAGTCGACTGCGGTTCGTGTCCTGAACCCGGTGGCTTAAAACTCACGCCGGGCGCATGTGCGTGCGTGCCCAAGATCCCGAGAGGAGAATGGAGGAGAAGGGATTGCAGTGTGGCCATCCCCCCTAGGAGGTGATTTCTCACTTTCTGTCTCTCTGTCTCTCTCTGTTATGCCGAAAACCTCGCCAAAAAAAAAAAGGACGCATGAGGGGAGGGTCACCCAAACATTAACTTTTTATTTACTTCTTTTTTCTTTGTTTCTGCTAGACGCACATGCACTCATCAGAGAGAAAGGGAAAAAAGAACACACTCCCCATGGGGAATGGCCACACCACAATCCCTTCTCTTCCACCTCTCCCTGCTTTTGGGATTTGGGGCACACACACACACGTACCCAGCATTTCTCAAGCTGCCAGGTCTGGGACTTGAAAGCCATGGTCAGCCAGGTGGGCTCGTGCTGCCTTACCTCCCAGGCCACAGAGGCGGCCCTTCATCTACTTTACTAGCGTTTACGTCCTCCATGAGCAAGACAGCTAGAGCCAGAGCCAGAGGCCGCAGCTCTAGCAGGGTCTTGATATCACAATCCGCCCCTTGTTTTTTCTTTTCTTTTTTGAGAGATTTTTGCTATGGGGGCGCATGCACTCACTGGAGAGAAAGAGACAGAAAGTGAGAACTCACCCCCCCAATCCCTGGGGATGGCCACACTGCAATCCTTTCTCCTCCATTCTCTCAGAACCTTGGGCACGCTCATGCACCCAGCATGAGTTTCAAGCTGCCAGGTCCAGGACTTGAACCGCAGTCGGCCATGTGGGAGTCCAACGCCATAAGTACGATGCCACCTGCTGGGCCCTCCACCCCCATGTTCAGGCAGCTCTGGATCAGGGAGGTTTTAGATGTGAACCCAGAGCCTTCCTAGGTGGGTGAGCCTGGCAGAACATCGTGTTTTACACCGTGCCATCATCCAGCCCTGCAAACACTAACACGCCTGACCACTTCCTCACTCCCTCTCTGCCACTCTTTGGGGGTTAAGGCACAGAGGGTGATCAGGCAGACACGGTTACTGGACAGGGAGGTACCTTTGGTCATGAGCAGGAATTGCCGTATCAGACTAAATAAAGGTCACCCCCACCCAGCAGGTCTGGCGGGAGGGGGCAGGAACATCCTCGCTCGAGAGAAGTAGGGAAAAGCGCTCTAGGGGAGCGATGGGGGTGCTGGCCAGCCGTTACCGCACGCCACCGTGGGCCCGGTCCGCGCGGGGCAGGCCTGACGGCCGGCTCAGTTAGCTTCATATCACCCATCAAGCTCAGAGAAGGAAAGCCATTTGTCCTGGGTCACACAGTGGACAAGGGGCAGAGCTGAGACGGACCCCTGCTCTGGCTGACCTCAGAACCAAGTGTGATAGCACCCCTCACCTTGCTGCCGTGTGTCCTGACCTCTCTCAGCCCTCCCGTAGCCCTCAGGGTTGTCACAGATTGTCCCCATTACACGGACGTGACAACCGGGGCATGGCGAGTCTGGCTACAGTTGTTTTCTCACCTAGGAATGAGGAAAATCAGGAGCTAGGACGGAACTGTCAGTGGAGCCTCCCAGAAAGGCACTCAGAGTAGCTTCGAACATCTCTCCATCTTCCTAGTGAAACTGGCTCAAGGCAAGAGCCCCGGTGTGAGCTTGGGTTCTGTCTCTGCCCCTAACTTGCTGTGAGCTCTGGGCCACAGCCTGCCTTCTGAGCCTTACTTCACTAGAAGAATGGCTGGAGACGGGGAACTCTGAAGTTTGGTGTTCCCCAGTTTAACTCACTCCTGGGCCCCTGAGGCTGTGCCATCTCTGTCCCGTGGGCGAGCTGTGGTTCCTTCAACTGTGCACTCGTTCATGTGACCAATGTCTGCTGAGGACCGACTGTGGGTGGAGGCCCTGGGCTGGCCTCCACGATATGGACGAAAACCATCCATCCCATCCCCAAGAGCGCAGTGAGAACTCCTACACGCACCTCATTGCTTTGGTGGGGGGACGTGCAGATGCAGGGAGCACCAGGCAGGGAGTTTCTAAATCAGCTGGGGGCACCCTGGCTTCCTCTGGACTGAGACATGAGGGGAAGGAGGGATTTTCCAGGTAAACAAACATCTGGAGGGGCAGAAGGGGAAAGAGAGGATAAGTATACCAGGATATGTGTTGGGGTGCGTGAGACAGAAGAGAGCGGAAGGCAGCAGACGACAGGTGTGGTCAGGTGGTACAACGGACCCGGCTTATCCCGGGAATTCCTGGTACTGCAGCATCGCATAGCCATGCATGTGAAATGCACCTGTAAGGATGAAGGCAGTGGGCCAAGATAGTCGCTGACTGCCCAGAGCAAGAGTGGAGAGCTGGGGCCAGCAGGGATGTGGAGGTTAAGATGCTAGATCCCATATGGCCAGCTTTGCAGTTCAAGTCCCAGACCCAGCAGCTTGGGAATCACGCCAGGCACGTGTGCATAGGTGCCCAAAATCTCAAGAGGAGAGTGGAGGAGAAGGGATTTCAACATGGCTATCCCTGGGTGGGGATGGGAGAGAGGGAGAGCTGAGTTTTCACTTTCCCTCTCTCTTTCTCTCTCTCTCTCTGTCTCTCTCTGGTGAGTACATATGCCCTGTAGAAAGGAAGGAAGGAAGGAGAAAGGAAGAAAAAGAAGAAAAGGATGGAGAGCTGGCCAGCCTGTGCCTGGTGCCTAAGGCAGCTGGATGCCACATGACTGGATCTCACATAAGTCCCAGACCTAGTGGCCTGACGAATACACCGGGAGCCTGCGCAAGCATGCCCAAAATCCCCAAAGGAGGGAGGGATGGAGAAGGGACTGGTATGAATATAGCCCGTGGGAGAAGTGCTTGCTCACTTTCTTTCTGGTGAGCACACTCACCCTCTGGCAAAAATGTTAAAGGAAGGAAGGAGGGAAGGAGAGCTGAACTATCGGCACTCGTAAAGTACTGAAGCTGGTCTGGTTACTGCGTCCAGGGTACTAGAAAGGGCATCCCAGAGGCCAGGCAGCCAGAGAGGAGGCTGGCGCTGTTAGGTACCAGGCCCTTGGTGAAGGTGAGGTCTTCTGTCTGTTAGCTGACTTTTCCAAGGCCTGAATGCCAGAGTGAAAGCAGAGGCAGGGTGCAGAAACAGCCCCTGGTGCAGAGGGCTGGCATCTAGAGGAACATGGCTTACCCTTGGCCTCCTTCTTCAAGGCCGAGGAACCCCTAGCAGGAAATGCTGGGGAAGATCCTCAGCTCCCTGGGGGCCTCCTTTCGTTGTCTGTGAAATGGGGATGGTAATTATAGGCGTAATAATTTTTGAACCCGAAACTGAGGTGGCAGGATCACTGAAATGACAATTCCAAGTTCCCTTGCACCCTCTCATCGTTTTAAGTTGACTAGGGGTAAGGATGCCGTTCTAGGTCCTTTACTCTGTTCAATACTTAATCCTTATGGCAGCTTCAAGAGGTAAAGCTTTATCCCATTTTACAGAGGGCAAAATCGAGGCCGAGAAGTACCTTGCTTAAGGTAAGGCAGGCTTTGAATCACTACGCCACGCGAGTTATCGCGGTCCCTCCTCAGCTGCAGAACTCAGATGAGTTCAGGCGGAGGAAGAGCCTCTGACAAACCGCCAGATGCGCTGGGAACACGAGCCACAGGTGTATGTCCTCAAGCCCAACAGGAAATTCCTCACTTTAGAAGATCCGCCTACGAGGCGGGGCATTTGGGGAAATCCCTACCATTTGAGACCTTTGTGCACAGGTTACTTGCCAGGAATTCTGTCTCGTCTTCCTGTGTGACTTGGGCAAGTCAGCTCACCTCTCTAAGCCTCCGTTTTCCCTAGTAAAATGGGGACAAGACTCCCTTCTCAGGTCTGTGGTGGGGACGAAAAGTCGATAGCATAGGTAAAGAGCGGGGCTCGGAGAGACCGCTGCGTCGTCAGTACTGGGTGCTCTGCCCACGTCCTCCTTAAAACGAGACGCCGAACCCTAACCGATCCAGCACTAGGTGCGGCGGCTGAGGAAGTGAGCTGGGGCCCGGGCGCTCAGGGGGCCACGCCCCGCGCGGTGGCCGGACGGAGTCACCTGCACGCCGGGCCCTTCCTTCCTCCTGCGCGCCGGCGGCCAAAGCCCAGCCCGCCCTCGACCCACCACCGCCCTCGACCCACCACCGCCCTCCGCCCCCATCCGCCCGCGCCGGCCGCCC